CCCGATAATTTTACAATGTGGTTTGCATCTCGTACTTCTATAATCGACCAATTGTCAGGCAACTTTCAAACAATTTCAACTATTCTAAAATATCAGAGATATGTTTTGTAAAAATGGATTCGTCGATGTCGAAATCTACAACTCGACTCCACCTTTAGATTTTTGAGACTTTCATTTACATTAATTTCGAAATAAAAAGCGACAGCGGCCATTTATATGGCTGCATTTACCCCAATTAATGATAATTATCTTACCGCGATGTGTGAGCGCCAGCGACTAAAAATGCGAATTTGCGATCTGCACGTATCATCCGAGCGTGAAATAGAATTTTGACAAAGGTCAGGGTTCACTGACGGCTCCTAACTCATTGTCCATCGATAAAACAAATCGACGCCCATGAACGACGGTGTTCATGGCAGCGTGTACAACGGCGGTGATTACGGATATGTCAAAGGCGCAACGTGCGCTTTGATTGAAGGCTTTGTGTAGGACTTATATATACGCACACACATTTGCATACATGGACCGTCGTATACACTTTTATCAGTTTTAATCGACTTAAAGTTGATTTTCTCGTAAGAAAAGCGTTAAACTAATGACAAAGTTTATAATTCAAAAATGTAACAAAATTATTACGTATATATTTTCTTATCGATTATGAAATTATATAAATATAATATTAAATATAGCCTCACGAGAGAAATAATAATAAACAAATATTTTTCTAACAAAATAAGAGAGTTCTTTTCATAATAAATATGTATTCATTCATTGCTGCGATTGCATTGAAATACTTATTTATTTATATTTAGAAATAATTATATTTTTTCCGTTAAATTTTCACAATTTATTCAAATTTTATAATCATATTAACGTTACGCTTCGGCAGTCGGCCAGTAATGGAAGAATTTCTCTGTACGAGATAGAATCATATAATTGCGCATCTCATACGGCATATGACATTTAACCAGATTATTCCTATGCACTGTACATCGTGAAATGATTAATCGAGAAATCTCGTTGATGATATTATCCAGCTTAATTATAGTATTACGCAACACGAAATTGCACAATAGCTTTGGCTTAAGTTTGAACTACTCATCATTTCAATTGTGATATCACGTTCCATCATGCGCATTCTGAATATCGCTCTGTATCACTTACAACATGAATGAACATAGATATTTGTAATATGATACTTGTAACAACGAAACATTGCTCAATCTTATGGTTTTGCAAATATATTAGCGAGAGAATGGTTTTCTTATAAGAAAAAATTTGTTGGATCAATAATATATACAAGTGTCAATTTAGGGAAAGTGACATGGTAGAAGATTTTTTCTGAACTTGTACCAAATATTGTGGCATGTATAGACACCACCTGTTACCCCGGAAGCGAAACTGGCGCTCGTTTCAATTAGGGGAATGAACCTCCTCCTTTTATTGCTGTTCTTGCGCGCGACGCGGAACGGGAGGGTATCCGGAATAAATGTTCTTTCTATCATATCTCTCTCATTTCACAAGGTTCACGACAAAAGGCTCCGACGTCAGAGATGGCTTATAAATGCCCTTTCGTAATAGGCAACACTTCCTTTTCTACGATTATTACTCGAGAAGAAAAAGAAATCACTGCAAAATACAAGAGATTATAAATTAAAACGCTGTAAAAATATTCGTATATTTCAACCTCCCGTCTGTTGCCTGTATATTAGTATCTATTAATTTTATCCTTAATTTGATTGAAAGTAACATTGAAATATTAAAAAAATATTTTTTGATGAATGAGATTCTCTCTCATAAATTAAAAATAAATAAATCTTGTGAATATAATAAATCTTTATGAAAAAGATTAATGCGATTTCTTCGAGGATAATTGAAATTTTCAGAAAAAAATAGAAAATATAAGAGATTGAAAGCATTAATGTATATATAAGATATTATGCAAAACTGAGTAATGTAATAATCGTAAATGTATGCAAAATTTCATGATTTTACGTATCACACGATTGTTAAACTTTTTCTAAAAATATTTAGAGTAATTTTGAAAATAAACTACTAATTTTAAAAAGGCTAATTCCTAATAAATATTCGTGACAATCTATAAATTCAAGTGAGGTTGTGCTCCCTCTGCTTGCATTCCCCACGGAAATCCTGCATTGCTGCAGCTGCATATACATGGGGGGTGAATATATTATTTTATATAATGACACAAACATATGATAAACACTCATCGAAACAATAAATTCTAACAGAAGATATTTTCAAAAACAAGGAAAAATTATTAAAAGGCAATATGTAAATTAAATTTATATCAATTTATATTTTTTTCTGAGATATTAAGTATTTTAAAAAATTCATATAATTAGAATGTGAAGTTGGCATCTCATGTTTTGTTCATGTTCGTTATTTCTTCTTCTTGCTCTCTTATTTTAAAACTTTTTTTAGAACTTATAGAGAATTCCAATAATTTCTGAGTTTCAGAAATTAAGTTCTTAATATTCAGAGAAAAAAAGCCAAAACCTCTTGAATAATATCAAAATTCTAAAAATGAATTGCAAACTTCGGAGGCAAATCGATTTGGGATGTCTGTATAGGAAATACTTCCGCCAAAAACACCCTGCGAGAACTTCCGGCCAACTGGTTGGTCGCCCCTTGAAATCGATCAACCTAAACGTTTGGTCGTGATGTGAAAACTATTTACGTATCTGCCACGGGGTCAAGTGAAACACATGAGATATTAGGTACAAGATAATCAAAAAGCCTTATTTTTTCAATAAATTCATGACAGATCTTATCACGAAATGATAATTCGTTTATTGATTTTTGAGGATAATTAAGATTTAATTTTCTAAGACATAAATGTTGCATTTTTTATTATAAGAATTTTATTATATTATGAAATAGGAGCAATTAATTCTATTAAAAAATAGTTTGATATTCTGCAGATCTTTCTGTAGAATATTTTTTCTTCTATATCATTCAAAGAATATGGCATTTATATACTTTAAAACGTGCGTTAGATACCGATATAAAAAATATATGCTGTGCATCAAATTGTTTTATGATTATGAATCTCGATTAATTGCGGATTATTTTCGATTGCTCATCATTGCATGTAATAAAACGGGTATGTGAGATATCCTAGATAATCCTTTCCTGTTTTTCTCCAATCGCGAATTTTTTGTTTTTTAATTAAAAAATTTATTGGAATATCTTATAATTATAAAGAGATTTAAAATATTATTGATAACATATATAATAAAAATATATATATAATAAAAATAACATATATAATAAAAAATAAATATATAACAAAAATAAATTTACACATTACATGTATAAATCATTATCCTTAAAAATCGATGAACTAATTACCATTATTAGAACACATTTTCGATTGCTGTTACGATAAGAAGAGCTTAGAAAAAAATACATCTTATATAGGTAGATTTCATTTTTCTTATTCTTGCTAAACTTTAAGAAAATCTAGAAGTAATAAGCAAACATAAAAGAGAAAAATTTTTTTTCACAATTTTAATTCAGAAATCATTTTTTAGTTTAAAATTGATATTAACAATATATGCAGATGCTTGCTACCTCGATTTTGATCAACGAAGGGATTATTTTTAGGCGGAAATTTCATCGGAGGTCGCGTATCAGGTATCGATCGTCGAGAATTATAGCTCACTGAAGTCGCAACGAAGTAGCCAAATCTAAAGCGAGCCGGTTGAATCCTGGACAATCTCCAACGCGTTTCTATTCGCTATACACGCGAAAGAAGCGATGTTACCCGAAATATTAAAGTAGGCCAGAAGGCACGGAATTATTATTCGAATTGCGCGATGTTCATTCATCACTATCGTTATTTCATTTCTTGAAAAGTATTGGAAAAACTCGATAATCTGTCATAAGTAATTCAATGATATCGTCAACTAATAAGTTTAATGTTACTCTAATACATCGATAATACATACACTTTAATATATCCAATTATATTACATTTAAATATTGTTAAATAAACATTAAATATTAAATAAATATTAAATAAATATTAATATATATTTAAATATAATATTAAAATTGTATATATTAAGTAAACATTATTCCTGAAAATAAAGAAATTATTATTGTGAAGTATGTGATAAAACGATATAAGGTATCGATATGAGATATTTGCGGCGCTCGTAGAGTGCTTTTTTTAAGCACACGATTATGCATCGTTACTGAGGCACGTTGTGACTGAAACGTTGTTATGTTCGATAAACGTGAGGTAAAATTATCGGACCGTCACTTCGACACGTTCGCTGCCAGGTGTGCCATAAATGATACGCGCGCCTTACTTTAACGCGGGCCACATGCATCATCTACAATGAACTAGAAACAGATTTATATTCGCACATGTATCCAAAGTACATCCCATTGCTTTGCGCCATCGCCTTACCCTCGCTCTTGTGCATAGAAATTATTAACGAACTTGAGCTTTATACGAATTTAATCGATTCTTATGAGTGAATATGTTTCTACGTACACATAGTAACGTGACATGTCATATCAAATCGATAAAATATTATGTACTCTATAACAAATATTTTAACTACTACATCTTCCGAAAAAAAAAGTAATTTTATTTTTAGAAAAACGTAAAATTTAAATTTGCCGAAACCAGCGTTATAAAAAAATTATAATTAAAAAAATATTAATTAATATATTTATCTTTTTAAATTATAGATTGGACAGTTTATTCTTATATATCACTTTAAAAAAGTTCTATAATAATTATTTTAATGTACTACCTTCCGGGAAAAAAATAATTAATATATTTATTTTTTTAAATATAGTTTAGAAAGTTTACTTTTACTATATCACTTAAAGAAAGTGAGAAACTCTCACATTTCTTGATTTAACGTTTTATCCAATTATTCATGTAATTGTTAATTGTATCGTTTGTAATTCGATTAATCTACTTCTGCGCACTAATGAGAGCATTCCGCGTGTTCCAGGTGATAGATTTCGGTTCGAGCTGCTATGAAAATCAACGGGTATACACTTACATCCAGAGTCGCTTTTACCGAGCACCGGAAGTGATATTAGGCGCAAGATACGGCATGCCGATCGATATGTGGAGCCTCGGTTGCATCCTGGCGGAGCTTTTTACTGGTTTCCCGCTGCTGCCGGGCGAGGACGAGGCGGACCAACTGGCGTGCATCATCGAGATGCTGGGCATGCCGCCGCAGCGGCTGCTACAGAACTCGAAGCGTTCGCGCCAGTTCATCAGCTCGAAGGGCTACCCGAAGTACTGCACCGCGACGGCGATGCCGGACGGAACGACAGTGCTAAGCGGGGGTCTATCGAGACGAGGAAAGCTACGTGGTCCGCCAGGCTCGCACGATCTCGAGCGCGCCCTCAAGGGTTGCGATGACGTGCTGTTCCTGGATTTTCTAAGACGTTGTCTCGTGTGGGAGCCGGAGTACCGGATGACGCCCAACAAGGCGCTCAGGCATCCGTGGCTGCGCCGTCGACTACCAAGGCCGCCGGGCGATAAGAACGACACGCTACCGGCGGTTACGTCGGCGCAGCCCGCGACCACTGGCGGTCCCACCCTGAGGACGTCCGCGTCCGGCAGCAGGAGTTCCAGCAAGACCAACAGTCTACAGAGTGGCAATAACACCAACGACGACATCGCCGCGAGCAAGACGACGGGTCAGCAGAGGGCAAACCGCTTGGTAGAGGACGTAGTGTCCACTTACGCGGTTTATCCGTCGTACGGCGCGTCTCAACTACACGGTAGCACTTGGAGCACGACGGGAGGACTGAGCAGTGGCCACCAATCGCTCAATTCCGTCGGTGGCGGCGGCGGTGGCGGCAGAAGTTCCTCCAGCAAGACTAACAGCTTGCAGAGCAGTAATAATACCAGCGACGATATCGCCACGAGTAAACCTACCGGCCAGCAAAGAGGAAACCGTTTGGTGGAGGACGTAGTTTCCACTTGCGCGGGTTACTCGTCGTACGGCACCTCCCAATTGCACGGTAGCACTTGGGGTACAACGGGAGGGCTGAGCAGCGGTCATCAATCGCTCAATTCTGTAAGTAGCAGGAGCTCCAGCAAGACTAACAGCCAGTTACAAGGTGGTAACAATGCGGCAACTGCCGATATCTCCGCGAGCAAGACAGACCGTCAGCAGCAGAGAGATCGTACGAGCGAATTGCCGGTAACGATCTTTGACTCTTATCCTCTTGGATCTTACGGTTGCCTGTCCGAGCAATTGCACGGGAATCATCGGACGAACCAGAGCAGTAGTCATCAATCGCTCAATTCCGTCGATGGTGCGACGACTGGCAAGTCGCAGCGCGCTCGTCAAACGCATCAAACGCAACAACAACAGCACAATAATAACGGCACGTCGCATGACAATTACGGCTCTCATGGCTCCTCGAGCGGTTCCAGCCGGTTAGTATTGTCGCTTCATCCGGCGGTCCAGGAGATTCTCGAGGAGCTGAGACGATAGGCCGAGATGCGAGACCACCCTTTCTCTCCTCTTCGACTCATCCGATCATTGCCATCCTCGGCGCTGCTTCTGAATATTTCGTATTCGACGATCGTGCGGTTTCCTCATAGATAAAAAAAAAATACGCAAGGATAAGAATGATCCGGTCTCGGTTAACCGACGTAAAACTCGGCTGTGGTTCGCTGCCTGCCGTTCGGACAACATTCGATCCGTATCGCCTCCTTAACTTAATATCGAGAGGGAAGAAGGGTGGTCATCTCATCAGCGATCTCGGATTCACCGCTGTGATTCACACATTGCGTTTCTACAATCGCCGGTGTGGCTAGTTGTAAGTGGGATGTGAAATAGTTATAATCTAGCGAGATCACAGAAGAGATTCGTTCCATGAAATATGTATGAAAAAATATAGTCATAAATGTTCTTTTGAAACTCATTTAATCGAATGATCGAGTCTGAAATATTATTTCGAGAAGGACTAATAATCGTGAAAATCTTAATTAACGGAAGAAGGAAACGGTAATTTGAAAATATGCGAAAAGTTTCGTCTAAGTAAATGATAATTAAATCAAGGCTGGTGTGATCTTTTAATGCTATTTATGCGATTCGATATTTACAATATTCTGTTTTTCGCAATCGTGTAAGTATCTTCTTAATAGCGTAACTAATTTTTATTTCTACTTAGATTTTCCTTAAAAATTAATCAAATATTCTTTTTAATTTTTGGGAAAATTAATTTTTATTAAAAGACTATTATATGAAATTAAACAATCAACGACAATTAATATAAATTATATACATTCTATGGGACTGCTATAATTTATATGATCTCCACGTAAATAGATGTTTTATTCTGAATTATAGAAATGTATTACATGTATATAATGCATTTTTTATTTTTATTATTTTTATTATTTTAAATTTTGCGACTACTAAAAGTTAGTTACGTATTCAATATTGAATCGCACATCAGTACTCAATATTGGATCGCACATCAGTTGAAAGTTTATATTATATCCTTGATATCTTTTTACTTATATTTTCTTGAGAAAATGAGTCAATTGTTACAAAAAGACTCAATTTTACGGATTTGTCGCTGGCGTTATAACGGTTTCACTTATTTCGCTGTGCAAGGCTCGTTACCTTGAATCGTATCTTCGGCTGCGACGACGTCGCTTCGCATTGCTCTTTGATCCACTTATTACAGGAATTATTCCTGTTGCTATTACTTTTGGCTTTGAAAATAATGTGGTTTCCTCGATGAGAAGCGAATATTTTCGCTATGACAATATCTTGAGAATTCTCTATTGAGATGTCCGAAATTCTCGGAATAATAAATGAAATATAAAATGAATCTGTGTACAATTGTTTCGAAACGTTGTTATCGAATCCTTTGTGTGCAAAATTTATAATGGATTCAAAAGATTCAACAATTTTTTTCTGCTGAATTTCGGAAGCAAAAATAACGAGAGACAATACTTGACGACAATTTCGAAGTACTCATTTATGCTCGTTCGCTCGACTGTATTTCGCAACATTGTTTGTCCGAACATAAAGTCGAATGAAATAGTAAATTTGTTTTGTTAAGTATAAGAAATCGTTTTCTTAAATATAAGGTATACTAATTAGTGGAATGTGCAAATACAGAGATGTATGTAATTATTACTGCTAAACTTATTACGATGCAAGATATACGAATCAATCTCATTTCTACTTATTGCGACACTATATTGTTTCAGTAAATCGATGCGACTGATTACACTGAGATAAGATAACAAAACGATATCGAACGGAATCGCCAATTCTAACGATACAATTATATATTAATATATAATTATATATTAATACAATTATAAATTATATATATATAATACAATTATATATTAATATAATTGTATATTAATATATAATTATATATTAATGTATAATTGTATCGTCATAATAATTTATTATTATCATATCATCATATTCCCGGAAATTAGAGAGAACTCGATAGGATATACGTGATACAGTTAGATTTATCAACACGGTGCATCGCCGCCGGGGACGTAAATAGATATAGCGACTCACTCGCGAGAAGTGCAATCTAATAACGGGGTGGCACATGCTCGACTGAATAACATAATTTGAGTTGATTTAGATCGCGAAAAGCGCGAAAAGGAACGCTGATTTCCCACGCGCATCATCAGTCTGCAGATGTTTCTTTCGATATCGTGTCATGTAATTTCGAGGAATATATATCACTTTTATGTCATTAGCATTCCGATTCGCATTATGATTCGCTGTAAATTTGACAAAAGATAATTTTGAGCGAAAACTACAAGTTTTGTAGATTCAAGCTGTTAAATTATTTGCAAATATTATTAAGAATATTCTGCAAATATAGAACAAAATTGCGATAAATTTATATTTCGTAACTTTTATTTGTAAATTATTTTATGCAAATTTCTTTGCAATTCTTTAGTAATTTTATAAATTTATTTTGTGCTGTTATAAATTTACTTTGTACGCGTTTAAATGTGTCAGTGTTTCTATCTTATCATTATTAGACGCTCAGCAATGATTTAAAAATCTATTTTTTTTTCAGTTGTTAGAATGAAACAAAGCATTCATGTATTTTTATAACGCCTGTGATTACTATAATTCATTGCGCACTTAAAATTTGCACATTAAACTTAAGTTGCACATTAAACTTTTATTAACTTTTCTCTTGCTATTAACTAAATCACGATATATATATAAAACAAGCGACTTTCTGTATCAAATTGCTCATTATACGAAACCACTACTGTAAAACATGAGCGAATATTCGGTTTGCCGCGAGATATCTGTGATGAATTATAAGTGCTCGTTAGAGAGTTTCAACGGATTCTAAATTTCGGTCAGTTCTGAGATATACATCATTAAAAGAGAGTTCTTACCGCGAGAAAAGTTTCGCTGTCGATTAAAGGGAAATGTATACTTGCATGACTATGCGTATAGTTCGCTTATATTTATCTATGATAAACTGCGTGATGCACAATTTACGACGAAGAGGTCGCGCATAGGGTTTATTAGCTCGGCGCTTCTCGTCTCCGTCTGGACTAACTGGGTTAATTTCCCTCTGCATTCTCTTCTCGGCATTTATTATTCACGCGCTATGTGTATTAAATCGGAGTGAAAACGACTCGGTTTCTTTTTTTCCCGCGATTATCGCTCTCAGAAAACGCGAAAATTTTCATTTTTCGCATATCATTTATCTTTCACGTTTTTTTTTTCAGAAATACATTTGATTGAGTTTTACAGGTCACATGAAATCCGATTTAAAGAACATATAATAAAGAACTGAAATATAAACCGAGAATAAAAATATGATTTCCTTTTTTATATGAATTAAATGATGTGATTTGAATGTTTCACGATTGCATTATCGATATCTCATAAATTCGATGATAAACTGATGTTTTTTATACATATATAATATATAAAGTTGAGAAATAGGTATTTACATTTATCTTTAAAAAAAAGAAAGCGATAGCACAATGTGAATAATTCTTACATAAAAATATGTATATAAAATGATATGAACTTGCATGCTAGTAGTAATCAAAATTATAAATGATAAATTGCAAAACGTATGATTTTTTTAAATTTATAATGTTTACTTAAAAGAGAGAAAAAAAGGAGATATTTTAATATATTATTTTTAAGGTAGGTCATGTCTACCTTAGAAATTATATTTTCAGAATTAAGATTCTTTTTATTATGATTTTAATGAAAAATCTCTAAGCAATGATGTATAAATATATTTACTTAGATATACAAAAATAAAACACAATTCGGTTTCGTTTGATATCGGCGAATAATTTTTTCTTATATATAATTCCATTCAAAAGCAAATATATCACTGCGCTTATAACGCAAAATAATTAATACATCATTTATTCTTAGACAGCATCCTTCATTAAACGTTAAATGCGCCTTAATTGCCACTTTCTATCTTACCATTGTCATTGATTTTTCCCGAGTTATTTTAAGCGCCACTTTGTGGTCGATTGTTTAGTCATCGAGCAATTTGTTTTACACCAGAGTAGTTTTCAGAATAAATAGCATACGATTCGCGAACAATGCAAATGCGCATCTCGCGATGACTCCGGTGATGCGAAATCGCTAAATTTAGTCGGACAAAACGTGCGTGGCGAACAGTCGTAAGAATTGAGAGCGTGGATGAGTGACGAGATGACGACAATGACAAAGATAAAACGCGAAAAAAAAAGTAATATAGAAAAGAACGAAAAGAGTGCTGATGCAATGACAGCAGCGACGAAGTCGATTAAACTCGAGAAGGAGGAGCGAATCGGCGAATCGGCGGCGATTATAAAAATCGTGATAGACCGAACGGCATGTCTTTTGTGATATGGAACTTAGGCGTATTGGGATTTATACTAACGAATGTAGATAAATATATACATATACATGTGTGTGTAAAGTACCGTATCATATATGAGATGTATCGAATGATGAATTTGTAAAGTGCGATTTAGCTTAATCCTGTCATAGATAGGAGTACTAACGCGAAAGTATCGATGCCCTCTACTCTTTTACTCCATCGGTGTACAAGGAACAAGTATCGATGCTACACTTTCTTCGAAGGTGTCGACATATACATACATACATACATACATACATATATACATATATACATATATATATGTATATATATATATGTATATGTATGTATATGTATATATTGCTTCAGTATCCTTATAAATAATACAAATATTATTTATAAGGGATATAAATGGGCCTCTTACATTTTACGATCGATACTTGTCCTCTTTTCGATGACCGAGTGAATAAAAATACTGGGTATTGGCTTTGAGTATCCGGTCCAGTGATGCGTTGGAAAACACGAGACGATGTTTGTGACGATGAGTTTCAAGTTTGAATTTTCTTCATCTTAAATTGATTCTAAACGTGAAAGAATCATCCAATTGTTTTGTATTTGTATTTACTTTAGAGCATGCAGTAACAATAATGTATAGTCCTATTAATTTTTCAGCAATATTATTTTCTAGATTTTCAATTCGTCCGTAATAATAACAATTGTTTCGGACATCGCATAATGCAATATGCATTTGGAAAAAGTTAATCTCATCAAAAGATAATGACTGGCCGTGAAAGTATTAATCGGCGCTCCTCACCAAATCCTAGAAAAGTAAACCGTAATCCGTCGTCGCTCCGCCAAGTCCCAAAAAAGTCGTTCAAAAAGGAACAACACGTATTGACCGATCTTGACGATTGAGCGCGTGCAATATTGAATGATAATTTGCTGCGCCAAGATCGGACTATCACTGCCGATAATTTGTTAGGTAGACGCCATGCTTTTTTTACAAGCTGGCTCATTTATGCATTTACCTAGTCTCCATTTCCCCATTATCACAAATTTTAACATGTGGAGTGCCGGCGACGATTGACTAATGTTGCATGCAAAGAAATTATCATTATACATCCAGTAAGATTACATTCGCGCGAATGTGCTTAAGTGTACATTGTGTAATAAATATAACATGGTATAATAATATACTACTATTAACTTAGTAGTAATATTATAAAGCATTGTATATACATAAATATCTTCGATAATTAAAGATAAATTTTTTCGCAAAAAAGTAACAT